AACGGGACGAATTCCTTTTCTAGCGGCTGCGGCTTTAATGTTAACTTTCAGCGGGATCTGTTTCGTCGTATGTATTGAACATTAGCATTGTTGCGGATGTTATTTGAATATCAATTGATTTGGGGCATAAATCGATAGTTCAATAAGTGAATCATCCAATTTCAACATTTTTCATTGTATTTATTTAAATTTTGTTATGTTTCTTTTTCTATCCAGAAATGTCACTGAAAGAGTTGGGTCGTAATCCGGGTTTTGTTCGAGGGTTCTGTACCAACCATTTCCGAAATACAAAATTCGTTATCACGGTGTGTTCTAAATATATACGCAAATAAAAACATCTACACATCTTACTGACTGACTGTGAGCTGCTTTTAGGTGTACAGCTGACTATTCCATTTCGCCTGTTCACTTGTACTTTGTCGTACACCTGACTATTTCTCCGACTATGTTCTTCAATCTTCCATTTCGCCCTGTCTCACGTCAGACCTGTTGTAATGCGCACCTAGGTTCACCTCTTTCGAACTATTGCGGTTTCTATCAATTCACTCTATTCTTTTTATTTTGATTTATGCATATGCTTTCTGTACTCTTTCTGGATTTTGATCTATTGACTCTCAGTCAGTTCTAAGTTTCCCAGTGATTTGTTTTTCCCTACCGAAATACAGGAACTTCATTCGAATTGATTATAGCAACAACGTACACCATTCCTGCACTATCGTTTTACAAACATGTGCTCGGAGAAGCACGAGATACTCATCTTACTTTACAGTGCACACCTTTCAGATTTATCAAGCTTTGCCGCATGGTTCCAATCGACTACGAATATCTACGAGTTGTCTGATGGCCTCGGTATTCGATGTGACTATCCTTTGCCAATAGCTGCATGATACTGGGTTGGTGAATTCAATCATGGTTTACTCAATCTGACTTTGTGGTTGATATTTACTTCTATCTTTCTTCCTTTTCAGCTGTCGGTTGAAACTAGCCGGTGAACGATATAGTATCACTTTTCTCTGGATTGCTTTTTGGTTTCATGTGATTCGATACCGTTCCTGTGGTGTTTGTAAAACATCCTTCAGTCTGGTGCCTCATAGAACAGTTTATGGATGCTGATTCCCCACAGGATTTATTGTCCTATACGACATAATTCAATACCATAGTGTCTGGGACCTATCAGGATTATATGTCAACACGTAACGTGGATTCTGGATTGATCTGCAAGCACCTCAGCAGGGCAGAGACTTTTTATCAGGATCTGTTAACTACCGAGACCCGTTCCCATTGATGCTTTGCTCACTACTGTGCACACAAAATGGGTCTATCGGTCCACTTATTCACTNTTTTATAGGCATATACTTCTCTATAGCCCATACGCCTTCAGGTTCATGGACAGTATCACTTCCAATCGCCTGGTTTTTCATTCCTATATTGCACTTCGTGCAAATTCTTCCCTTTCTGCATTCTTTCCTGATTCTCCTTAGATTTCTATCACACTGCACTCGGTCCCGTTGAATACATGAGAAAATTACAAGTACTGGTCTGCAGCATCCTTGACCAATTGGTTGCTTTGGTGCAGTCCAGTTGATTGCTGATGCACGAAAACCCCTAAGGAAATGAATCAATGGTGTGCACTCAGACACCGGGTTCTTGGGTCATTTATTTTGGCTATGTAGCTTGGGATAGAAGCAGTATTTCCAAATCGTTAGATAAGCGATAGTCTAACATGAAGGAGAAAACTTGGAGTCTATCTCTTGTGATTAATAGATGTGTAAAGTTTGTTTGGTTTCGCAGTCATTCATTTGAGTAGAGTGTATTTTCTCCATTTGAGCTACTTGTAGAGGTTTTCACTGTCTCATCACAGTGTTCAAATAATGACAACATAAGGATACTTGAATCCGTCGCTGATGAGCAAACAGGCTTCATCTTGGATAATATGAAGGGCTTCTCGTGTTTCTTTTGATATTAAATAAAATTTGAAGTAAGAAGTAAGCGAGAACTTGCGGTAGGTTCACTTCGGACTGATGATTAGCTACCACGATTGTCGACAGTTATAGTTTTCGCTCCGTGCATGTAATCGACGACTCACGATAGTGCAACCGACTTACATGTCCACTAGATCTTGATATAACAAATGTACAACGATTCATTCCATTTTGTCCACCAAGGGCCACAAGACAAGCATAATGTTTATCCCTTTTGTGCAAGTATCACTCAATCCCCAAATTGCCTTCAGAGAATCTTCAACCACTTCCCTATTTGTGGTCTAGTTCTTTCATGTCCGATATGTGATCACTACATATCGTGAATCAGTAGCGACCCAGCTCTTTGGCTGATATATCAGTTTTTTCATACGGTGAAGTTCTCTCATATAACATCACAATTTATCAAAATATCTGGCGCGCGTGTGTGAGGGGGAGGGGAGAAATCGTGACCAGTGGGAAGAAAAATGAACCGCATTCCATAGCCGGATGTTACTCACACTATAGTCGTCACACTCATTGTTTTGGGCCTAGCCTATCGGGGCCTTATGTGGTTCGCCACTCCAAGTTCCGGGGCTTAGGTTGCCGATTTCAACCACTGAACAGCAGGTCCTCGTGACTATGGGTTTGCCCCGTCTGCTGTTCATCACACCTAGGTGTGTAATAAAAAAAATAGAAGGATAGTGATGGTGGTGCAGTGGTTTAGTCGCTGTCACCGGCTTGCTTTGGGTCCTATGATCCGAGGTTTGAACACTGTCACCCAACTTTGATGGTAGGTTACTTTGCTGTCATCCGATTCAATACCAGGCATAATCTGGCGGGGCCTTATGTTTTCCCCCACTCCAAGTCTGGGAGCTTAGGATGCCGGTTTACATGGCTGAGCAGCAGGTCTTCGCGACTATGAGGTCCACCTCGATCGCTTCTGCTAAGTCCAAAACGCGACTCCTAATCCTTTTGGATCGACGACAGCAAACTATGTATAAAGGTCGGAATGCATTAATTACCTCGTAAGTCTGAAACAATCCAACCGCTGATGTCCCTAACCACCCCACTATTCAGCCAGGTCGGGTGTTGCTCTCGAATTCTTTCTTATAAACTTATGCTCATGCGGCTAATATACCTTGCTTTAATTTTAACTACCCTTTTACTTACCCAAACGTCTTTTACAGCTCATCGTTTCAGTCCTCTACGTGATCCAGCATCCTCTCATATACTTACATTCTTTATCTTTCCACTTTATCTTCCGTTCTAAGGGTTGACCATCGGCACATAGATGGTTCTTGCAGTTTTTGGTAGTCGTAATACCTCAGCAACCTTACATGTTCCTATCGAACAGTTCCATTCTTTTGACTGACACCAGTCACTCAACTCTCACTTGTTGCCCCAAGAAGTTGCTTCCATTTGGCAACAGCCATACCCCGGCAGCTGCTTGGCAGGCGGGCTGAACCAAGTGAGGGTAACTGGGTTTCTCGGAACACAGTGGATCACATCTTTACATATGCGCGTGAAACAGTTCTGGTAAACTGCGTGGACAAGATCATTTTCTTGATCGAGCTTATCAGAAGGTGAATCAGTACAAACAACTCAGCTACTTTACAGATCACACTTGATTATGCAAAGGTCCCAACTGAATGGTGTGAAGCGATCATCTTACCGTTTTACAAGAAATGTGACAATCCCCTTGCGAAAACCACAAAATAATTAGTTTAATCCAAAGTGTCTCTAAACTTCTTGCTGGCACCATATTCTGTCGATTTTCTGCCGCACGCGTGAGAATCAGGCTAATTTTAGACCCGGTCGAGGTTGTATCGACCACATTTTCACTCTTCGCCAAATTTTAGAATAGAGATACTTCTTTCACAGATCCGTCATTTCCGTCCTCCTCGATTTGAAAGTGGCTTTCGACTCAGTCAGTCGCTCAGTACTGTGGTGCCGCTTCTCTCTGACGAATGTGCTCGAGAAGCTTATTTCAATTTTGCGACCTCTTTATCCTGACAACCGAGTCCTAGCTTCCGGCACTTTCTCTCCGGAGGTCACCACGAAAACTGGTGTTCATCAGGGTTGTCCTCTCTTTTTCTATTTAGCTTCGTTATGGATTTAATCATGGGAACAGCTCTATCCTCTTGCGAGGATAGTGACAGCGATTTGCTTCCAGGCGGTAGACTGTCTTCTCTGGAACACATAGACATTGTATTGCTAATTCTAAGGTTCCGGTTGTGGATATTCCTCAAGCAATTTCACCTGCTTTGGCGTGGGCAACCTGGAGATATTTCGCCCACATGAAAATCATGGAACACTTCTTTTTCATAAAGATTATTGCACCATGATTTTTTTGGCACAATCTGGATTCAGACTGAAAATATAATATATAAATAAGTGAAAATCCAGGTAAGTTTCAAGCGTTTCTGTTTAGTTTGGGTGCTAGATTACTATATTCGGTATGCATTTTGCACCTTCAAAGTGTACAATGTTGCAACAGCACTGGGTTGGTTGAACTCCCAACCTCTAACTGGAGAAGTAATAGAGGAGGTAGATAAATTTTGTTATTTGGACAGCTACATCACATCTGACTGATGCATCAAGAATAAGGTGTCGGCACGCTCACAAAGGGCTCGATTGGCGTTGGCCAACTTGAGATATCTCTGATGCGGTCGCCACATCTAGTTGCCTGTAAAGGGTTGAGTGTATGCTGCGGCAGTTCGGTCAGTTCTGCTATACAGCGCGGAAACTTGGCTAATAAGAAAAAAGAACAAAGGCAGACTCGGTGTTTAGCCACCGCTGTCTACACAGCATTGTACGAATCTGGTGGGGCAACCGAACAAGGAATGCTGAGGTTAGACGGAGATTTAGGAATTCGCGGTCACCCACTGAGGCGAGTGGTCAACCTCCGTAGACTACGTTGGTTGGGCCATGTGCGGAACATGCCATCAAGTAGGTTGCCACGGAGCGTGTTTGCCGAGGCAGGTATTGGTTGGAAAAATGTTAAGGGTGTTCCAACTCACACCTGGTATAGGGCCATAAAAACCCTAACCAGGACACTGGGTCACATAGGTCACATTAGGCTTCCTGGATTGGGACCCCGGGATCATCGTAACAGGTGGTTACGCATACTGAGTGATATGGCTGAGTGTCGAAACAGTGGTACTCGTGTATCTACTCATTAACCCTGCAACCTTGGTCCATGTTAATTCTCTGTCTTTAACTCTGCTCTCAACATTCTACTCTTCTGCTCTTTCATCCAAATAGGCAGTCATGGGACAGCAACCAAAACCGGCGTACGAAAGTGTGGTTAATTGTTGTAAAAACTGAAACTGAACTATAAATGCCAGAGGAGTAGCCCCGAACAAAGAGCTGAGTGTTGTTGAAGATGTCACTCATACGAACTTCTTATGAAACTGTGAAAAAATTCTCATTTTCTCGCACCAGATAGCAGAAGAAAAACAGTAAGTAAATTCTATTCATGGCTTGGTGTGCGATGCTACGCTCCTGCCCCAAGAAACACTTCAGTAAGTGCATCGCTATTGGCGTATGTTGAAACTCCCATTCTTTCCCCTGGTGACGGGTTTTTCATCATGGCAAGAAAGTAAAGGGAAACAATTTCCGGGGTTGTGATCGAGTGATCCCTTCAAGATTGGCTGAAAGCTTCCAAAAATAAATATTTCCAGCCGATATATATATATATATATATTGGTCCGAAAGCAACTACGAAGTGTAGTAGCTGACTCGAGGACGCCCTGCTCCAACTAAATCGAGTCAAAGCATCCTCGATCACTACTGTTCGTCACAAGGATGAGGTGTCTGATCTATCAGATACCCTCAATAACTCCGCTCTGCAGCCTTGCAAGTTAGACGTTGGCTTTATGAATCCTTGAAAATATCACTTGCTTTTGTCTGGTTATTCCGGTGGGATTGCGTCCAAATAACAAATTGCTTTAATCACGGCAGAGCCTGTTGTACCAGAATCTGTTGATTCCTGTTTGAATACGGATCATTGTAATTAAATACAATGCGTGTCCTTAAGATTTTCGAACACGAAATGTTCTGTACTCCTGAATCCTAGAGTCGCATTATTGACCTCAGTTCTCGTGAGATTTCTGTTCTGCTGAATGCTCCATTTGTTTCTTTTTCGACCGTTTCTATCAGTGATCTTTCATTTCTTCCTGACCGATTCATATACGGAATCCACATCCTCGATGATTTCCTACAAGCAAAGCAATCCATCCCTCATTGGAATTGACCCTGCTTGTGATTTCTTCATCTATACTTATATTCTCCGATTTACTGTGCCGCACGTACTTCCGTGACACTTAGGTGTAGTAAATGGATAAGCCATTTGACGCCTTGTTACATTTCTGCTGTTCAATTCAGTTCAGTTTTTACAACCATTAACCATGCATTTCTGCTGTGCTGCGCTTCGGTCGGTCAACCAGAATGCATTTAATCCATTCTTTCTACTCATTTCTTTCTCATTCTCATTTATGCAAAACTCGACCTTTCTCATGCAGTGGTCCATATTCAATCAACGAAACCCCAATAACAGCAAAATAATTGCGACTTTGTATTTCCTTGTGAACATATTCGCTTAGCTCGGTCCTGTGGTTTCTCCGAGTGCCAAACTTTAACCGGTTCTGTGTTTCATCTTTTTCGATTTAATTTCAGCGCATTCAACCCATGGCGCTTTTCCGACAGAGCTGTCTCATGTTCGACTATTTCCAAATGTTCCTAGTCAGAGCGATGATGAGGATGATACTGGGAATGAGTGGTTTTGTCGTACATGTAACATGCAACTTGAAACACAACGTGCATTCACGTTACATCTCCGAGGGGTCAGCCATATTCAAAAGGCTCTGGATGAAGTGCAACGTCAACAACAGTATCAACATCCTCAGCAGTTCACTCGATGGGTTAACTACCGACCAGTTCCAGTGAGTTGCTCACATTTTTCTGCTTCTGTACCCAATGATTAGATAAATTCTGTAACCAACGCTTAGAGCTTATTTTTTTGAATAGTTCTCACAAACTTGTTGTCCGGTTCACTGTGCACTTTATTTTACTTCCTCTTGCAATTGTCAGAAGCTAGAGTAAAGCATCCTTCAGATCGATTTATTGGTTTAGTTCGTGACTCTTCGCTACACGAGCTGTGTTACAACCTTGAATGCAAAACTCAGGATAGAACGTTGTTCACTCCAACAAAGAATAAGTTGTTAACTTTGTTCAGCGTATGGAAGGTGAATGGTGTTTAATGTTTAAGTTGTTTTGTAAAACCATTAATCATGCACTTTCATGCCCCGGTTTTGGTTACGGTCTTTTAGCTTCCCATTTGGATGAACAGTAGGAGAAAGACAGGAAAGTTGAAAGTAGAGTCAGAGAAAATGGAGAATTTCAGTGAACTAATGTTTCAAATAAATTGAGCAGATGTACGTTCACCATTGTTCCAAGTTGTGATAGGCAGTGGTTTAGTCGCTGTCACAGACATGCTTTGCAACCTATGGTCTGAGGTTCGAGCCCCGCCACTACCACCCAACTTTGGTGGTAGGCAGCTTTGCTGTCCGGTTCAATACCACACCTAACCTATCGGGGCCTCATGTGGTTCGCCACTCCATGTCCCGGGGATTGGGTTACCGGTTTCCATCACTGAACAACAGGTGACTATGGGGCTTTCCCGTCTGCTGTTCATCATACGAAAGTGCGTAATAAAAAACAAACCAGTAGGTTGGCGAGCCATCTGTCTTTGCACTTTGAACGTAGGTGGTTATCTTCTGCTTTTCTTCAACGGTTATGCAGATGTATGGCTCCTTCAGAATGAGTAACAAATACAATTCTCGGCGGATTATTTACTGGATTACTAAATAATGAGGCCCACCACTGTTATTAACGATGAAATGCATTCTTGTTGATCCATTCATTTGATATTGTAATAATCTTCGTTTCCGTCTATTCAATTCACAATCATTGCGCAATCAATATTCAGAAATAGAGTAACAGTCTTCAGAAAACCGCCTGTAAGTTTGAAAGTGGGGTGACAGTGAATAAATTGGATTTATTGCACCAAAACCGCCGCCTTAGTTGTCAGGTTCATACATTGGAAAAGTTCCTTGCGTTCCCCCTTACGGATCGTTACGTCACATACGTACTTACCGTTAAAAAATAGTTTACAGTCTCATTTTTCACGTAAACCGAATGACGCATATGGCTATCAGGTGGCGTTAGTCGTACAAACTTGACTGAGATGATCAAATTATGAAAACCTGTGATACTAATTTCGAGAAACCACACTTTTATGTCATCTGTTTGCTTTAAATGCACATTGCAATTGTCATTTTCCCTTTTATCTGTTTTATAATATTTCTGGGTTCACTGTGCGCCAAATATATGTTGCAAACATCTGTATAACTAAGAAAGCAATCCATTATTTTTTATCACAGCAAATGTTCACCCGGCCACCGCCGTTACCGCCTCCGTCGTACCAGCAACCAACTTATGATGAGGAGTTGCGACACCAAGCATGGTTACAGTCCCAGTATTGGCAGCGTAACAATGCGGAATTTGTTGTGCCGGGCACTCTTTATTGCGACGTAAGTTCCTCATGAGTGGTACACTTACCAAAGGAAGAGCACTAATTTTTCACCTGTTTTCCTTCTGTTTTCTTACACTGACCATGTTTAATGACACTGTTTGGACGAAGATCATTGCTATTCGTCCTTAGATAAGTCCAGTTAATTAATTTGTTAATTCTGTGAAAAAATGAAACAAATTTCCAACACATTGGACCCTAATTGGGGTCATCTCGGATCAATACCAATCTCGCGGAGATTAACCAGTAGTATTGCGTCGTACGGCAACATTCACTCTGTCCGTCCGTCTGATCTGTAGCCTATGACCGGTTGAACTTTACTCACTGTGTACTTGATTGGTACATTCTTTTCTTACATTGATCGACGTTATTTTAAGTCACAAGCAACAGAGTAAAACTTGTAAGTTGACTTGTGACTTGTGTTCAACGCCATTAAAAACCCGTACTGCTGAAGCCGTGTCTTCTCTCGTGTTTTTGGGAGGCCTGAGAGATCGATAGCCAACTGTGCGTTCCGTGTTTCGATTAGGTAGCTTCCGCTCCTAGAGCTATCTCCCGCTCACGGACTTAGTGCTAGTCCGGTGTTCTCGTGTTCCCGTGTGCTACTAGTGCTACCGTGTTTGCACTTGTGGTGTTCACCTGTGATAGTGCTGTGTGACATAATTGTGGGTAATGGGATATAAGCGGCATCAAAACATAAATTGGCGACGTAAAAGATGCTTTTACTAATGATCCTGTAAATAGCTCATAACTGTTCATTGACTACTATACGTACCTGGACAGTTGTCTGTCTTGTGGTATTTATTCGATCTTATTATTTTCGATCTTGTTCTGCCACTCCATTCGTGTTTATAGTTGTGCAAAGTCAACAGTGCTACGTATGCCACCCTCCAAGCACATCTGAATGGTCGTCGACATCGAGAAAATGTTGACATCTATTATCGTACTGGTAAGTTAATGAACCACTTGGTCTCTATATATGTTATTATTTATGTAATTCAACCCGCAAAAAATTACATAAAACTGGCATCTGTGCCACATTATATTAACCAAAATCTGTAGAACGTGTTCATAGGTTGTGTGGGCATGTTGCTTCCCGGTTGCCCTGACCGAAGAAGGGGATAACCTCGGGGTCTCCACCCAAAGACTGGCTAGAAAGCCAAGCCTACAAGACAACAGGACGGAGCTCAGTTCGCAGTCCATTAGGGCCGGTGTCCAGTTCATCGAGTCATACCCCCTTTGGACGGGGTCAAACGTCCAAGGNNCTCAACACACCTTGATGCCCAATCGAGTCGGTGACCACTGCCACAACCGGGTTTCGGATCAGGGTTTTTCGCCGACTCCCCTAAGTGAACTAACCCGGTTATAGCCCCAGATGTTGGCTTTTCGTCCTCTCATTTTGGTTGGAAAGCACCTCCGCAACGGGAAGGCAGTGAGTAGGGCTTCCTAAGCAGAGGCTATTTAAGACGCTTAGTCATAGAGCATTTCGCGAGGTGTAAGGGGATGTTTTCCAGCCACTACCTGATACACCCACCCTGACTACTGATGCTTTCGCTGGCTGTATCTATATTATTTTATATTGAATTAGTTT